AAGGATGTGGAGCAAGGGGAACACTCCTGTATTGCTGTGAGAGTGCAAGTGTTTATTACTCTGGAAGTCAATATGGTGGTTCTTCAGGAAATTGGGAATAGCTATACTTCAAGAGTCAGCTATACCACTCTTGGGCATGAACCCAAAGCATGCTTCACCCTATCATAAGGACACTTGTTCAACTATGCTTATAGCAGCTTTATTCATAATAGCCAGAAACTGAAAACAACCTAGCTGTCCCTCAACAGAAGAATGGATAAACAAAATGTGGCCATTTATACAATAGAGTATTACTCAGCTGTTTAAAAGGCACACCATGAAATTTGCTGGAAAATGGACCCATTTAGAAAAAAATCATCCTGAATGAGGTAACTCAGACCCAGAAAGATAAATATGATATGCATTCACTTATAAGTGGATATTATCTGTTAAGTAAATGACAACCAAGCTACAATCCATACTCAGAAAGGTTAGGTAAAGACGAGACATCTACAAGGGACACATGGATCTCCCTGGGAAAGAAAAATAGAATAGATTTTGTGGGTAGACTGGGAGCAGTAGGAATCAGGTATGTGTGTGTGTGTGTGTGTGTCTGTGTATGTGTGTGTCTGAGTATGTGTGTATTTGTGTGTGTGTGTGTGTGTGTGTGTAGGGAGTGGAATGGGAAGAGAAAGTAGCAGGAGAGATGTCTAGAATTGGGGAGCACTTGTGGAATGGATGAGATGGAAACCAAGGGCAGTGGAATCTTTCTGGAATCTACGCCTGTGAGACTAGTGAGGCCTCTTAGTAGAGGATACAAAATCTCAGTTGGCCATCTCTTGTAGCCAGGCAAGTCTTCCAGTGGTGAGACTGGGTTACTTTCGGTTGAGTTGTTGGCCAAGGGGTACCATGGAGACCCCTAAACAACCAAGGCTAGTACTAGGACAGAAGGTTGTTCTTTGAGAACTGGCAATGGAGTCCCATTGCTGAAGAGAATATCCACACAGCTCATTGAATGTGGAGAGGACAACCTGGTGTCTACATGGAGACTTTACACCTATACTCTAGTCTCTTTGGTATGGGAAGGTACTCTGAAGGCTACCAAAAGAGAAATATGAAACACAACCCAGCTACAAAACCTTTTACCCACAATCTGTCCACCCTGCAAGATGTGCTGGGGACTTGCAGGAGAACTTGTAGGAGTGGCCAACCAATGATTCATTTAACTTGACTTCCACTCCATAAGATGAAGCCTATAGCAGATAGTGCTTGGATGGCCAGGAACCAGAAACTGGATAGTCCAGGGACCTAGGATCTGGGGTGCTTTGTCCAGTTATAATCAGAGAGGATTCCTCAGGCAGCAGATGGGAGCAGATGCAGAGATCCACAGACATTATGTGGAGAGAGATTTTAAATGAGAGGTCCCTATTTCATCCCTTCCCAAGGAGTTCAGGGAATCTCACAGAAGAGGGGGTAGAAGAATTCTAGGAGGCAGAGGGAATGGAGGACACCAGAAGAACAGTGCCCACTGAATCTATGAAGCAGGGTGCATATAGGCTCCCAGAGACTGAATCAGCAAGCATGGGGCCTGCACCAGGTCCCCTGAATATCTGTTGTGTCTATTAGCTTGGTGTATTTGTGAGACTTCTAACAGTAGAGTGGGTGTGTCTCTGACTCCTTTGTCTGCCCTTGAGACTCTTTTCTTTCTATTAGGTTGCCTTGTCCAACTTCAGTTGGAGGGCTTTTGCCTTACCTTATTTTATTTTGTTTTGTCATGTTCGGTTGTCTTTTGGAAGCCTGCTCTTTTCTGATGGGTGGTGGAAGAATGGATCTGGAGAAGAGAGGAGGTTGGGGAAAGCTAGGAGAAGGGAGGGGAAACTGTGGTCAGGATGAGAAAAGTCTATTTTAAAGAAAAAAGAAAAAGAATTGCAACTTAACTTTAATGTTAACAAAACATGGAGAAATCCAAGATAAATCTGACTAAAACACACAAAAAATTGCTATTAAAAGAAAACTTCTAATAATCGAGTTAAAAGATTAAATGTCTAATTCTTGGTGGACATATTTTAAAATCAATTGATATCCATTGTCTTTTTAAATAGTGAAACTATACTTTTTAATTATAAGAGAAACCATAAAGCTAAGTTCACGTGACACACTTACATAGGTTTCCTTGAGAAGTGTTTACAAACCTGCACATTTCTATATTTAGGCGGTTTACAAGCTGGCTGGCTTTTAAAAAAAACATCTTATAAAGCAGCTTGGGTTCTGAAATCCCTGGGTTTATCCAGGCTTATCCTTCGGCGAACACTCATGCCGTCTGTCCGGGATTGTGATCAGTAAATGAAGTGAAAATTGAAATGAGATAACAAGTACATGCTCTTTGTTTCATATATATTTTCCAGATAACCATGCTTTCATTTTCCTTGAAATAAGAACCTACCCAGAAATCTTGTCTCTCCCTTGAAGCAATGAGGCAGTTCTGTTTCACAAACGGCAGATGTGATGAGAAGCAGGCCGACTAACATCCTTGCAGCTCATTCTGAATGGTCTGATAATTCCCCGGTGCAGTAAACGCATTTTATTTCTAAGTGTTAGACATTTATTACTTGAAGATATACTGCCTGTGTTTCTAGATATTAGCAAAAGTTATATTTGATTGGCCAACAGTTGTGCATTAATGGCCCTCATGAGAATGTGGAGAATATGTGGAGTGTGATAGAGGCCCATTCTCCTAGCCTAGATTGCCAAGTGTATCCAGTGACGCCTCTGATTTAAAATGGTGAAATGAATATGCTCAGGGGAAGCATTAGGCATTGTGAGTGCTGTAATTCAAGGTATGTGAAAACCAGCCATCTCCAAGAAGCCAGAGAATTGGATGTAGGGAACAGTGCTGGTGTTTCTGTTTCTAAATTATTTTCAATTATTAGCAAAATAATAATTTTTAATTATTATATTTTAATTATTTTAATAATAATTATTAGCAAATTTAACAAATTCTTGCACAGAATTTGTTAAAATCATAAATATTATCCAACAATAACTACACTAATAGCTATAGATCTTCAACCACCTAGGGTATTGATCTATACTGTATTTTCAAAACATAACCCTACAAAAATATCCTTATTAAATCAAGTTTAACAGCCATTAAATACATAATTAAAAAATTTAAATTGTAGTCTATTTATAGTTAAATGAGTGAAGTTTAAGATAAATATTAGCTCGCTTTTGGATTGCATCCTAGAAAAATACAATCTCTGAGAAATTTTGAAAGTATATGTGTCTCAAAATTAGCATGCATTTCAGAAAAGCCATAATATAGAAAAAATTATCTTTTTAGTCCTTTGTACTTAGGAGGGAGAGAGAATTTTCTAGAAATCTATGTAGCTCATAAGAGGCAAATCAATATTACTGTCAGTCATGTGGAAGCTATTTGTTTCTTTAACTGGCACTGAATAATTGCAACCATTTTGTTTGTGTGGAAAAATAAAAGGCAGCACACTGAACTGCCTACTTTATTTAATGTATTCTCTTAATTCGTTTTCAGCAATCGAAATGTAGAAGGGGACATTTTCTGACTTCCTGCCAAGGGATTTGCTCTAAACTGCACCTTTTAAATAAAATATCCAATGCTAAATCATGTACACTGCCAGTCTGAAAAATGAATGCAGATCAAAGGTTTTCTACTGAACAACATTTATGTAATGCCCACTTGACCTGATTTACTTCTTGCAATAAAAATTATTGTGGGATGCATACTTTGCATTCAGCTTCTTTCCTTGGTGTGATGGCCAAAGAACCCAGTTGTTTATATGGTGAGAGTCTCCGCCCCCTGGATATTCTTTTTCCTTCTTTGACATTTCAGGACAGTGTACATAACTCCATTACCACAACCACCAAATTAGTTTTTCAACTAGTTAGCTGTTATATATAATGGCTATATATTCGGGGTAGGGTGGGGTTGGACTTTTTCTCTTTTTACTACATAACAGTTAATGAAGTGTGTGATACGTGTAGGCAGCCAATGAACATTAGGAAGAGAAGTTAGACAAACACTGTGGTGGGGTGAGTGAAAGTGTCACCCACAGGCTCATGTATTTAAACATTTGGTCCCAAGTTGGTGCCACTGTTGAGAGAGATTTAGGAAGTGTGGAGTTCTCCCTGCCACCATGCCTGCTGCTTACTGTCATGACTCTTTGCCATCATGCGCTCTTATTCCTCTGGAACTATAAGATCAAGGAACTCTTTCTTCTACAAGTTGCTTTGGACATTGTCTTATATCACAGTTATAGAGAAGAAATGAATACAAACATAAAGGAAGTTATGAAACTTTTACTTTATCTACAGAATCCTGAATACTGTTATGGGTGACTGAAGGAGTATTTCATGAATAAAGACTGAAGTTCAATTTTTCTTTCCATTTTGGACTCAGTCATATATGAAATTTAATATATAGAAAACGTGACTGGAAATACAAGAAGGGGACTGTTCACAGGATTCACAGGACTCTCAAGTGTGCGTGGATGGAACCACTTGAAGATGGAAGCTCTCCCTTAGGATGATGTTATTTGTCATTTGGCAGACATTGAGAAATCAGTTACCCTTGAATAACTGCCACAGTCCAGCTTTATTCCCTAGTTTAAAAAGATCATTTTTACAAAAAGTATGTGAAGATGAAATAGTTACAAAATATTTATTCCTGATGGGAACATTTCCTTCATAATACACATGCCTATGATATTTATTTATAAAACCATATTTCCCCAAGACTCTGAACATTGCAATAAATGTTAATCAGTCATCTTTTACATCTTCTTGAGGCCAAGAGACATGACTGGCTCTCTCCCAGTTTAACTGTCCAACTCATATCCAGGAGGTAAGTAACACCCTCTGACTCTCATGGAAATCTATCTAAAACATCCCTCTTCAGCCTGGGGATGGTAAAACATTCATCTAGCACGTGCAACATCCCAAGTACTGCAAAGAAAGGAAAAAGTCAGCAAACAAAAATGTCCTCTTCACACATAAATACCCCAGTAAAACAAATTAAATATTATATAAACAATGGGGAATACAATTCTAGAATAGGTATCAATGACATGGTTGTTTTCCAGGATGATTCTACCAACGTTTCTTCCCAGGGATTTTCTCTTCATCTGAGATGACTCTGCACAGGGACTTCCTGTGAACTTTGTTCTCATGGAATCGTCTTCTGAGTGTAGGAAGAAGGAAGTCTGGTCCACATCAGTCTCACTGTCATGGAAGCAACCGTCGAAGGCCATGGCTTGAACTGCATCAATACTGTACATTCCAGATATCTGTCAAAAGACTTTTCTTTAGTAAAACACAAATGCGATTTTATGAATAGGAGCTATAGGAAAATATGAGTCGGATATTAAACAGTTTCTACAAATGTTCAGCTTGTCTGGCTTGTTATAAAGAATTCTAGTTTTGCTTCTGGCATCTGACTTAAAATCATTTTAATATTAAGTGGAAAAACATTGTCTAACAGATTCTGATTTATAAGGTGGTTTATATTTAATTCCATGAGTTATTTTGGCATCATACAATTAAATGTTATACGAACATAATGTCAGTAACGTCTAATCTAGTCCTGAACTGGTAAACAGTGGTCCTAGACTCTTGCATTCCGCTTTGTTCTGAGCAATATGGACAGTTTGCCATGGCCTTAGGAGTCGTGAGTGAGTATGCATTTTCCGACAACCAGTATAGGCTTCTTGGATTTGCTTTCCAATTTATTTTTTCTCTGTAGAGAGAACATAATAATGCACAGACCTGTTTTTTTTTTTTTCAGTTTCTGGTCTCAAACCAAAGTGATAGTCACTTTTTACTTACACTTGAGTTGGGGAAGAGTCATTGAAAGGCTTTATCTGATCTTTTAAAGCCAACCTACACAGGTCTTCCTATTTTTCCCAACAAACCAACCAACCAACCAACAAACACTTCCCCCAAAAAAAACAGCATGAAAAAAATACCACTTCCAAATGATGCTAACAAAGCTAGATTAACTACAAAGAAATTGACTTATTTTTCTGAAGAAGTAAATTATTAATGATTTTTATAGCAAGAGTGTCTGATTGAATCTATACTGACTTTTTTTCCTTTTTAGTTTTACATTGGGAGATAGTGACTCTTACCAGTATCAAGCAGTGTCTAGGAAGCAGCTGTTAGTAATTGCTTTTGGAGAAAATAAAATCCTTCTTAATCTTTAGGGAAGTTGAAAAATGAACAAAAATGGAGAGACTTTTCTAGATGAAATTTATTCAGAATTCAAATGGGAAGCTGCAGAGTTAAATCTGTTCAAAATGCCTATTTGGTTCACAGCAATTTAAAACTATATTATTTTACTGAATCAAGAAGACACGGCGACTGTTCTGTGCAGTCAGTTAATGAATCAGTGGGGAACCACACTTTGAATTACATCACCCTTCTATGTTTTGTAGAATAGGAAAATTCTGTAATAAGCATAATACTCAGAAAATAAATATGCAAGAACTTAAAACTGCTTAGCCTCAGATAGCCAATAATACTCAACCACAAATTCAAGTATTTAAAGCTACAGTATCATCAGTGGGTTTTCTCTTACCCAGAATACTATTGGACCATCTTGTCTGTTGTACTTTTTTAATCTGAATACATGCTATCAGCATTCTTAAGAAAACTAGTCTTTACAGATAATGAGTATTATTTTCTTTCTCCTTATAAACAATCTAGAATTACACCTGTAATTGATCAAAGTTTATAGACCACAATTTACCAAAAGCTTCTGTTTTTACAGGTTTGTAAGTGAGCTGTGTGATAGAAACAGATTTAGAAATAGTCTTATTTTTTTTTTGTCTCCAGAGCCCAAATAACCACTCAACTAAGCCATGTCTTATCTAGATACAGAGTAACTATTATAGGATGGTTTCTGGAATCTGGAATTAGGAAAAACCTCCTATTTCCTTTCTGGGCTTAGTTCAGCACTAAGGGGAGTCTTAAATTATTATTTGTGATGTTGTCTCTATTTCTGGTCTTTAATGGCTGGGTAAAATGTGTGTGTGTGTGTGTGTGTGTGTGTGTGTGATGTTAGTGGGGTTGGTGGTGGTGGTAGAGGTTGTCATGATGGTAGAAAACTTAAAAACAAAACTAGTAAGAAGCAATAAAGTCTCATCATCCTCGGTAAGGGAACACTCCATGAACAGACTATTATAATTCTAAATAGATACACATAAAGCACAGGTGCATTAAATTACATAAGTACCACTACTTGTTCTAACGTCTCAGGTTAATCCCATCATCATAAAAGTGGGGAATTTTCATATATGACTATCACCAATAGATAGAACACTGAGACACAATAAAACCCAAAATAAAAAACCACAGAGAAACATTGGAGTGAAAAGAAACAGTAAATCAAATGTACCTAGGATATACCTACAACATTCCACCTAAACACTAAGGGACACACATTATTTTTTGTAGCACATAAAACTTTCTTCAAAATAGACCACATATGAAATCATAAAACTAGTGTGTTAGCCAGGATTCTCCAGAAAAGTAGAATTTATAGAATGATTTTATCTATCTATCTATCTATCTATCTATCTATCTATCCATCCATCCATCTATCATCAGCATCTATATGCTATCAGAATGCTCATATATATACATATATATATACATATATAAATTCCCTTCATATATATGTTTATGTATATGTATACACACACACACACGCACATACGCGCGCGTGCACACACACACACACACACATATGAAGAGTATTTATTAGAATGGCTACGATACAGCTAATCCAACAATGCTGTCTACCCACAGAAGGTTCAAGAAATCAGTAGTTGTCCAGTTCATGAGCTGGTCTTCAGTATGTATACATCAGAATCTCAAAGAAGTAGGCTTTAAGGCCAGTGAACAAATGAAACTGCTAGTGTGAGAGCCAGTGGGCAAGAAGCAAACCTCTTCTTCTTTCATGTGTCTTTTATATAGACTGCTGCCAGAATGTATGGCACAGATTAAAGGTAGATCTTCTCACCTCAAAAGATCTGGATTAAAAGTGGGTCTTCCCACTTCAATTTATTTAATCAAGAAAAAAATCCCTCACAGCTGTACCCAGCTGCTTGGATATTAGTTAATTCCAGATGTAATCAAATTGACAACCAAAAATAGCTACTGCAGCAAATCTCAACTATATAGAAAAATTGAAATGTCCTGCATTCTATCTGATAACAATGGAACAAAGTTAAATATCAACATCAAGAGAAAATACAGAAAGATCATAAACTCAGAGAGATTATACAACACATTATTTATAAATGAGTCACTGAAGGAACTAATAAGGAACATTTAAGAAATTCTAGATTCAAGTGAAAATGAACACAACATACCCAAAATCCATGAGATGCAATGAAGGTAGTCCTGAGTAACATTTATATCCCTAAATGCTGACATAAATAAATAGGATTTAAAAAGAACTAACTTAATGGTGTACCTTAAAGTCTTAAATTCAAGGGAAAGAAATAAAATCAAGAAACAGTGGGTGGGGAGAAATAACTAACAAGGTAGAATTAAATAAAATATACTAATATAAATTAAGCAAAAGAGAGAAGGCACAAATGAATAAAATTAAAGATGAAAGAAAGGCATCAGAGGACAAAATTTAGAAAGCCATAAAGACACACATTAAAGATCTATATTCCAGTAAAACAAAAAATCTAGAAGAAAGGAATTGAAGATAACATTAGAAGATGGAAAGGATGCCCTATGCTCATGAGATATGGATATTACAATAATGGTCTTCAGCTAAAGGCAATCCACAAATTCAATGCAATGTTAATATCTTAGGGTTTTATTGCTGTGAAGAGACACTATAACCATAGCAACTCTCATAAAGAAAAACATTTAACTGGGTTTGGCTTACAGTTTCATATATTTAGTTCATTATCCTCATAATGGGAGACATGAAGATATGCAGGCAGACATGATTCTGGAGAAGGTGCTAAAAGTTCTACATCTTGATCCACAGGCAGCAGTAGGAAGCTGTGTGCCACCCTGGGCGTGGTTTGAGCGCAGGAGACCTCAGAGTTCACCCCCACAGTGACACACTTCCTCCAACAAGGTCACACCTATTCCAACAAGGCCACACTTCCTAATAATGCTACTTTCTATGCACCAAACATTCAAATGCATGATGCTATGGGAGCTATTCCTATTCAAACCACCACAATCAAATTAAGTTTCAGGGTCATTTCTCATAGACATAGAAAAAAAAAAAACCCTTAAGATTTATATGGAAGCACAAAAGATCAAATAGCCAAAACAATCCTGAACAAAATGAGTATTATAGGAGGTAACACTATTATTTAATTTCAAGTTAAATTTTAAGAGGCATAGTAATAAAAATACCGTGCTAGTGGAACCAAAGAGGACTCATAGAAGAGTGGACTGTTGTTGTGGATGGCCCAGGTGTTGTTTGTATTTTGATGCTAATTCCACTTTCCCAGGAGGGTCTGTCTGAAAAGAAGAATGAGTCACTGTACTCAGGTGACTTCTTGTGAACCATCCCCTAATGCATAAAGGAGCCAATCACTGGGCAAGTAGGCGGGACTTCTGGGTTGGAGAAGAAAGAGAGTAGGCAGGAGAGGGATAGGGGCTTTTGGACAGGGATAGTGAAAGGACAAGGTGTAGCTACTAGTGTCTCCTGGTTTCAATGGAGGATCTGCCAGGATTCACCACGGGAGGATTTAGATTTAATATGGCTTACAAGATTAGGATTCTAGTTGTCGCGCCCAGCGATTGAGTTATCATTGTTTCTGAACTATTTGTGTGGTGTCTTCCTTTACAGGGGTCAGGTGGATTGGGTTCCAGAGAAAAAGGGAAGGCCTGATGGGTCCTGATGGCCTGATGGGTTTGCCTGATGTGCACCACAAAAGACCGTGGGAGATTTGAAGCTTGGAGCTATGGCTACCGGCCAGTGGGAACTTAGCAAACTAGGTGGAGAGAATTTGGAGTTCTGAGTCAGAGAGTCTCCACAATATAAGAACAGGTTGGCCATTTCCCACCAGTGCATGGCCGGCCAGCCCACCAGGGCAGAGAGTAGCTGGGTTTAGCACGGGATGATGCCACTTTTGTAATATTTCCCACAAAAGACTATAATAGAGGATTCAAATATAACACCCTAACTACAGCTGCCTGGTCTTTGACAAAGATGTCAAAAATACACACTAGAGAAAAGCATTTTAAAGAAACAGTACTGTGAAACCTGGGTACCAATATACAAAAGAATGAGACTAGATCTATG